TGCAGTGACAGAGAACTGTGGCAGATTGTCCAGAGAGGCTGTGGAGTCTCCCTCTCTAGAGGTATTCCAGATTGATCAGGACACAATCCTGTGCTGTGTGTTCTGGGCTGGTCCTGCTGGAGCAGGGGGGTTGGACCAGCTGACCCACTGTGTTTACAAAACTTATTTTGAAATAGTAGAGGCATCTTTTTCTGTCCTTGTTCAAAATATAAAATAAAAACAATGTTATACCAAATATGGTACTTAGGCTTTTGAAATCTAGTTTTCTGAGACCAGTGGAGGGCTGTTGAAGGAGGGGATTAGAGGACTGGAACATCTCTTACAAGGAAAGTCTCAGGGAGCTGGGCCTGATCAACCTGCAGAAGGGATGACTGAGAGGGGACCTCATTAATGTGTATAAATATCGAAAGGGGGAGTGTCAGGAGGGTGCCCAGAAACAGGACAAGAGGCAATGGGCAGAACTGATGCCCAGGAAGTTCCACCTGAGCATGAGGAAGAACTTCCCTGTGCAGTGACAGAGAACTGTACAGGACAAGAGGCAATGGGCAGAACTGATGCCCAGGAAGTTCCACCTGAGCATGAGGAAGAACTTCTTCCCTGTGCAGTGACAGAGAACTGGGACAGATTGTCCAGAGAGGCTGTGGAGTCTCCCTCTCTAGAGGTATTCCAGATTGATCAGGACACAATCCTGTGCTGTGTGCTCTGGGCTGGCCCTGCTGGAGCAGGGGGGTTGGACCAGCTGACCCACTGTGGTCCCTTCCAGCCTGACCCACCCTGTGATTCTGTGAAGGCTGACACCAAAATCTCTTTGTGGCCTCCCAAAGGTTCCTGCTGCACTGGCCCTTGTGGGTCTGGAGTCTAAACTTAGTCACTGTTCCTCCTGAGGACCAGCTGAGGCACCTGCCACCAGGCTGTGGGACATTTCCTGATGTGCTCCTGCTGTTTCCATGATGTCACCTGAACATCATGGAAAAGGAACACAGCTTTGTTTCCAGTCAGTAGTGAGGGTGGCTGGAAAAAAAGGTTAGAGAGAAGAAAAGCATATTATCTGGAGGAAAGATCTTAGGTAGCTAATCACAAAACAATCTAGTGCTGATGTGAAGTACAAAGTTGTGTTTCGTGTCAGGTAAATAAAGGTAACCTGTGTAATTGTAATTGTGAAATGTGTGGAACACGGACATGGGACAGTTATAAAGATGAGTTCTGATAAACAACTGAGGAAAACAAAGCATGGAAGAAGGCCTTTGAATCAATCTTTTGTTTGCAATTAACTATTATAAGTCTTAAGCTGTTTTGTAATAAGAACCTTTGAATTATAGCTTTGAATGTTGCTTTGTATTAGAGGATTTTTAAACTGTAGCTTTAGAATATATAAGGGATTTAAACAAAAGAGGGAAGTGAACCCATCCCAAGCTCCTAATGAAACAGTGAAAACATCCTGGAAAAGGAAGATGGACATCAACATCACTGATTAATGATTTCAAAAAGGGAAGCTGGACATCACTGTCATGGATTAATGGTCCTAGAAAATAGAAGCTGGACCCCACATCTGGAAGCTGGACCCCACCATCTGGGATGCACATCCTGGGATATTGAAACCTGGAATAGATCACAATAGAGTATAGAAATGGGAAAGGCACTAAACATCACCATCATAGATTTAGAATCCTGAAGTATAGAATTGTGATGTAAAAAATTGGAAGTAGAAACTGCTGAGACAGCTTATGAATATGCATGAGCATGATCAATAAATACCAGCAAGCCCAGCAATCAGTGTGCACTTGGAGGGGAAAACCCCCACCACTGTACCCAGCGCTGGTTTTGCTCATACCTTACCATATTAATTAACAAATTGAATTACTGCTTGATATATTGGCTGAGTCAAGCTTCTCATTTCTAACACTGAGAAGTAGGAGTACTCAAACACCTGGAACCAAATCTGGTGTTACAGGAGGTTGCCAGAGTTGTGTATCTACACAGGGTGCCAGGGCAGCCTTTGTGTGGGGCTAAGCACAGGCAGGCAAGCGCTGGCTTTGGGGAACCAGTTCTTGTCTCCTGTGGCTGTTCCTATTGCCAATGCAATAGTTCCTGATGTGGTTCACTACAAAAATCAACCAGCGTTTGAAAAGAAATAATGTTGGGTGTTTATTTATTGTCTGTTCTGCTACATCATACGGGCCTGCAAATATTTGTACTGGCACAGCTGAACGAGGAGTGACCTGCAGGGTGCAGGTGAGATGAACACAAGAGAGCAGGGATGACTTGGATCAACTTTGTTATTGAAAAGTATTCATGTAGTGAAATTTTAACACATTGTACTCTGACTCAGGTATTCCTTGGGTTGATTTTTTTTCTACTTCTGAATATTTCAGGCTTTCACATGATCTGGATAGATGTCTTTAAATGGCTCTGAGAAGCAGTTCTGGTGTGTTTTTTGCTATTGTTTAATTTCTGCCTGTTATGTCTAAAGGCTATTAAGCTGAAAGTCAAGCCCTTGAATTAGGAAATACCAGGATTAAAGCTGCCTTTGGAGGATTGATTTGGTCCTTTGCCATTTGTGTACGTTGCAGCCTTGGTTGCTGTTAAAGTGACAGAGTTAAATTGCACCCTGCGTGACTGGAGGGATGTTTATGTCTGCGGTGTTTAATGGGATGAATTGAAGTTGTTGTAGGAATGAAGAAGGAAGCTGTGGCCAGAAGGATGGCTGACTGCTGGATTCTGCTTTAATCCTGCAGATTGTACACCACTCTCTCCTGGTTACACTGCACTGCTGGGTTATGTGGGCAGAGGGACACATAGTAATTACACGGTGTTTACTCTGCCAATTTTAAAAACACAAGGGCAAAGCAGATTGAAATGAAAGATCTTAAAATCTTTAAAAACATTTGACTAATACACTCTTTCCACCGTGTCCTTGAAGTGTGGGTATGCAGCAGCTTCTGTTGGGTGTCTCTACACCACACTTAAAGTTTCCTAAGCTCTGTTGATCTGCTAGCTGCAGTTACCTTCTGCAACTTGCATCCCAGAGGAATCACTTGAGTTTGCAAACTCACTTTCTTCCAGGTGAAGGGAAAGAGCACTTAAAACTGGAGCCCTCCTGGAGCACTTACAACTCTGTAAGTGTTAATGGGTGCTCAGACCATGAAACTGGATGAGGGCCAGCCACACTCTGCCACTTTAAATTGCAGTGGCATCCACAAAGGAGGAGGGTAATGAACCACCATCCTCACACCCCCACCTCCATCCTCCCGGTGTTCTAAAACATAGAAAGCAAAACAAACCAGATTGCTTTCTGAAATTGAGACTGACTTCACTGCTTTTTATAGATGGAGGTGTGGGGCAATTATGCATTATAGTTATCTAAGGTGAATTAAGGATAAATTAGTGTTTATGAAATGACACTGCAAGGCACTGAAATACTCAGTAAAGACTGATCTGGTGAGGAAGCAGCATTCTGGTTTTGCTGTTGCCATGTCACTATGAACTCATTTGGTATTTTTAGGTGTAGAAGTGGTAGCTCAGTCCTTGGTATGATCATTGCCCTGAGACACTGCATGCAGCATCTTTTAAGCCATTTCTCAATAATACAAATTTAGACTTTGATCACTTATTTATACCCATTAGTTTTAAGATTTACCATCCTCATTTATTAACCATGGGGTTATAGCTTCTCAGTAGTTTTTTTATTCTGATAAACTTTACAGTTTTGTTTTTTGGCTGATGAACAGTGAAACTTTTTTGTTGTAGTTGCATATATCATGTACAAATGAAAATAGTAGTTTCTCAAATCAGCTGTAAAAGTAAGATAATTGCTTTTAGCAGACACATCACTGACTTGTTTTAAAACCATCCTGGAGGTAGTGTAGAGAGTGTCCATGAAAAAATAAGAGAATTTAATATTGTTGATTTCTCTGTGTATGTTCAGATATATAAATTGCAACTCCTGCCATTGAATGTCTTTGTTTTACTTAAAACCAGGTTATCTTCTTTTGTTAAGCTCTCATCAGGAGCAGTATATTGAGTTATCAAGGCATCCTGCAGTATGGAGTGTTTTGTATCACATGGATCATGGAGATTTCTGCACTGCAGCTTAATTTGCCCTTATTGTACTCTTGGATGCAGACAAGGGTAACTGTTCCTCAGATATATGGGTTGTGGGCACAAAGTGCTCTAATGCTAATGAATGAAACAGGATTTTCAGTTCTCTGATTGCTTTTCATCCTGAGCAAAGCAATGCAGGGATACTTCAGTGAAAACTGACATTTCCCAGAAACCAGATCCTGCCCGTGCAGTTTTAGGGGACACATACAGTTAGAAGTAGATATTAACAGCACTTATTAAGCATAAGTAAACATGATGGATTTAGATTACATACAATAATGCTGTTTCCTTCTCCCTTCCCAGTATTAATGCCCTTTCCATCATCCTATTAAAGGTGACAACAAAACCCCCTTAATTTGTCCTCTCAGCAGGAGACTGTCAGGGTTGCTTAGCCTCAGAAAGGTGAGTTGCTACAACTAAGCTTTACATACCTGATCCAAGAGTCCAGAGTTTATCAGTCCAGTTGTCAAGATAGATCTTCATAAGGCTAAAGCAGAGAAAGAGATGATCAAGAGTGAAATGACTGAACTGTTCCTCCCTGTGGATAGGTGTATTGCAGGAGGAGAACACAGCCCATCCATCCATCCATCCATCCATCCATCCATCCATCCATCCATCCATCCATCCCCCAGTTAGTTAGGTGTAATATTCTTGGTGTAAGATTAGCAATTAAAAAGATATTTGAGAGTGGGCAGATAAGCTGTTTCTTCCCATGCCTGTGCTTTTTTGGAGCTATCAGTGGTGTTTCAGTCCCGAACCTTTCCACACACAAGCTGTTTCTTTAATTGCTCTTTGATGGTGGTTTAGCCAGTTTACAAAGTACAGGAGATGTGTTTACTTTGTCTCTTAACAGTTCATATAAGGCAACCTACAGCTTTGTTGTTGTTGTTCTTTTTCAGGGACATCAGAATCATGGAGGGGCTCTTGCATTACATAAATCCAGCACATGCCATTTCCCTCCTGAGCACCCTGAACGAGGAGCGTCTCAAGGGACAGCTGTGTGACGTTGTGCTGATCGTAGGAGACCAGAAATTCCGAGCTCACAAGAATGTTCTGGCTGCCAGCAGTGAATACTTCCAGACTCTGTTCACAAATAAGGAGAATGAGTCTCAGACAGTATTTCAGCTCGACTTTTGTGAGCCAGATGCTTTTGATAATGTGTTGAACTACATTTATTCTTCATCCTTGTTCATTGAGAAAGGCAGCCTCGCAGCTGTGCAAGAACTGGGCTACAGTCTTGGAATATCTTTTCTTACAAATATTGTTTCCAAGAGTCCTCAAGCTCCTTTTCCATCTTGTCCTATGAAAAAAATACTCTACCAAGATGAAGATGAAAGTAGTTCTCAGAAGAGAAGTGTCATCGTCTGTCAGAACAGAATGGAAGCACAAGCGAAAAGCATAAATCAGACACAACACGACTTAAGCCATACTCCTAAACCTTCACCCTCTGTGGCTGTCAAAGCTGGCAGCAGACCACAGGTAACAAAACCAACTGAAACCCTTCACAACTTATCACTGACTGAAAGGAGGTGGCTGAAAGAAGGCCCTGTGAGCTATACAAAGGTTCATGAAACTTCTGGAACTGTGGAGGATCAGAGCCGAAGTGCTTTAGTGAAAAGGAACATGGTGCTGCCTCAGATGTCTTTAGCAGAAAAAGAAATGGCAAGCGGCGAACCAGGAAGCAGCACTCAGCTTCTGAGAGGAAAAGTTGCAGAGATGTCATTGAAAAGGCCACGTCCACCAGTCTTGTCTCTGCGTGGGGCAGGGGATTCCACGTTTTTGTTGCGAGAGGCAGGAAAAGGAAATGGTCAAGGGGAAGACAGGAATTTGCTCTACTACTCCAAGTTAGGGCTGGTAATTCCATCTAGTGGGTCTCGCCCAGAAAACCAAAGCATTGACAGAAGTGGGCCCCTTGTAAAAAGTCTCCTTCGAAGGTCACTGTCCATGGACAGCCAGGTTCCTATTTACTCACCTTCTGTTGACCTAAAACCTGCACAGGTATCCTCGTGCTCCTCGCCGGGAACTAACGATTCCCAGAAGACATTTAATGTTGCATCCCAAAAGTCATCCTCGAAAGAGTCATCGGAGAAGTCGGCCTTGGATGAGAAGCCACAGGTAATACACCCACATCGCCTTAGGTCCTTCAGTGCCTCTCAGTCAATGGAGCGGGAGGTCGCTTCCCCTCTCTCGGAGGTGCGGATCAAAACTGAGCCCAGCAGTCCCCTCTCAGATCCTGCTGAAATCATACGCGTCACGGTGGGTGATGCTTCAGCATCAGCAAACAAAGACTTTGCTTTCAAAACTGAGGATGACCGTAAGGAACCAAGCAGACTTCCAGCCAAAAGGAGGTTCCAGGATGATAGGAGGCTGCCATTCAAGAAGCTGAAGGTGGATGAGCAGGGTTCTCCTGGCTCAGAAGAGAACTTTGAGGAAGGCTCGAGCCCCACGCACCTTGATGCCGATTTCCCTGATTCTGATGTCAGTAAAGATGAATACAGCGAGATGGAAGAAGCAAGACCAAATAAAAAATTCAAATGTAAACACTGCCTTAAAATTTTCAGATCAACAGCAGGTCTTCACCGCCATGTTAACATGTATCACAATCCAGAGAAGCCCTATGCTTGTGACATATGCCACAAGAGATTCCACACCAATTTCAAAGTGTGGACGCACTGCCAGACACAGCATGGAATCGTGAAGAATCCCTCACCAGCTTCCAGTTCACATGCCCTTTTGGATGAAAAATTCCAAAGAAAACTGATCGATATAGTGAGGGAGAGAGAAATCAAAAAAGCTCTGATTGTGAAACTAAGACGTGGCAAGCAGAGCTTTCAGGGCCAGTCGGCTTCCCAAGCACAACAGGTCATCAAAAGGAATTTAAGGTCGAGAACCAAAGGAGCCTATATTTGTACCTACTGTGGGAAAGCTTATCGTTTCCTCTCCCAGTTCAAACAGCACATAAAAATGCACCCTGGGGAGAAACCCATTGGAGGGAATAAGGCTCCTAAGCAGAAAGATCACATTCATATGGAAAGCCCAGTGGAAAACAAGGAGGTTTATCAGTGCCGTCTCTGCAATGCCAAGCTCTCCTCACTTATTGAGCAGGGAAACCACGAGCGACTCTGCAGAAACGCCACTGTCTGTCCTTACTGCAGCCTTAGGTTTTCCTCTCCAGAGCTGAAGCACGAGCATGAAAGCAAGTGTGAGTACAAGAAGCTGACTTGCCTTGAGTGTATGCGCACCTTCAAATCATCCTTCAGCATCTGGCGTCATCAGGTTGAAGTTCACAATCAGAACACAATGGCTCCGTCAGAGAACTTCTCTTTGCCTCTCATGGACCACAATGGAGAAGTCACCAGTTCCTCACGGCTGCCTCCGCAGTCGGAATCCAATAAAATGAACAATTTTGTTGCTGCAAAGGAGGATGGCGTGTTCAGTGATTCGTCAGAACAAATCAATTTTGATTCTGAAGACTCTTCATGCCTGCCTGAGGACTTAAGTGTTTCCAAGCAGTTTAAAATCCAGATCAAAGAAGAGCCTGCAGATGATATAGAGGACGAGGTCACCGAAACGAGCAGGGAACCTAAGGACGTAGTCTCCAAGAAAGATCCCAGTTTGTGGCCCTGTGAAAAGTGTGGGAAGATTTTCACCTTACGCAAGCAGCTGGAGCGTCACCAGGAGCTCCTGTGCTCCGTGAAGCCCTTTATTTGCCACGTGTGCAACAAGGCCTTCCGAACGAATTTCCGCCTCTGGAGCCACTTCCAGTCCCACATGTCCCAGGCCGCAGAGGAGTCCGCAAATAAGGAGCCTGAGATATGTCCACCAGCTAACTCCCCATCGCCCCCACCCTTACCCCCACCCCCTCCACTCCCCAAAATCCAGCCTTTGGAGCCCGACAGCCCCACGGGCTTGCCGGAGAGCTCCGGTACTACTGAGAAGCTGTTCGTGCCGCAGGAGTCGGACACGCTCTTCTACCACGCCCCGCCGCTCTCGGCAATCACCTTCAAGAGACAGTACATGTGCAAGCTCTGCCACAGGACTTTCAAGACGGCTTTCAGTCTCTGGAGCCACGAACAGACACACAATTAGCTTTAAGAGAAGCCTTGCAGAGCTGGTTTGGGGGGGCTGTGGTCAGGATCTCAGAGGCCTGCCACATAGGCTACAAATTTAAGAGGATCAAAATGATGATGATGATGATGATGATGGAAAATCTGGAATTTGTGATGCTGCTTGGATGTGGAGATTAGGGAAAAGTATAACTTGGTTAGTAGGTAGAAAGCAGAGTAATTTAAAATACTGTGGTCTGGGATCTAATAGTAACAGAATAAATTTTATTTTATTTCATTTGACACTGAAATACAATTGCATCTGGATTGTATGCATGGATCTTCATCCCGTGATGTTGGTGTGTGTGTGTGTATTATATATAAAGTTACATATTAAACGAAAGAGAAACAACAATTTGGATTCTAACTGTGAGCTTATAGTAGTGAAATACTGTAACCAACGTCATAATTTGTTTTTCAAAAAGAAACCAACACACACAAGCTCCATGTAAGTGGTTGCCATGCACTGGCAGTTTGGGAGGAAGTGGATGGAGTGTCTTGCTGTATTGACTTAGGTCTTAGAAACCTTTAGCAATAACAAATAAACCTCAAGTTTGAGTAATCTTGATGTTATTGGATACGAATGTTTGCTATTTTAAGGGAACATAGAATTGTTTTGTTGTTGTATGGAACTTGTGCAAATTAAAATAGACTCTAAAGTCAGCAATATTATTACTAAGATTTTATATAAGAAGTAGCAGCAAGCCTGCTTTCAGCCATTTAATTATAACTTTCTAAGGGAAATTGAGAGAGGGGGTACTTTGCTTTATATAATGTCCCAAAGACTAATTTCCTATGGATACTTGGGTAGCTGAAGTCATTGTGTAACAGCCATCATAATGCAAATGGTACTGTTTATAACATGAACTGAGGTTGAATGGATGTCAGACAAGTTTCATAGTTTTGTTTCCACTATTTGTACAACTGTTTGTAATTTTAACTACAAAGGAATGTATAACTATTAAATCAACATGAGAGAGCTCGTTAAGGGACAGGAGATGAGTTGTGTTTCTAAACACAAGTAATAAGCTCAGCCATGAAGTACAAAGATATGTTTTAACAAAACCTAAAAATGTAAATATTTATATAGACACCTGTATAAATGAAGAAGTATGTATTTGAAATTTGTATTAAGCGTACATATCCAGCTCAAAGCAGAGGAGAAAATCACACTACAATCACTGCATTTTATGGATACAATGCATATAGAGTAGTTCTTTCTGCCGCTTTACTCCTATGTGACTGTGTTGCAATTTTCCAATTTGTTGAAAATTGTGGTAATAATGGGCTGCAGATATTCTGTGTGCTTCCATTATTTTACCTCAAATGGCAACTGGAGCATTTAGTGTAAGTAGGATCACACGTATTTACCAGGAGCCATAGTAAGGGTCCAATTTTTTCTGTAAGTCAAGGAAATATTTACCCAGAAGTAGGAGGTGAACCAACAGTGAGAAATTATTTTGCTAGAATTTTAACTTAGCGGAGGGGTGGTGGGTTAGAGTGAACATAAATGATGCAAACTGTGTTTGTGATCCTGACCAGAGAAGGGGGATGTAATTCCACACTGCTGAGTCCGAGCCCAGTCTGTGTCCACTGAAACCAGCAGGAGTTTGGTCACCAGTTTCAGGGGGAGCAGGAGTGAGGCTTGAATTCCCTGTGTAACCATGTGTGTAACTGGTTTTTTTCAGTATCCCAAGTTCAAAAGGTGGAATTGCAAGCTGATGCTGAGATTCAGCAAAATCAAGCACAAGTGTAACTCCTAAGAATCTGAGGATGGGCGCCCTTAGGCACACACCAGATTTTTCTCAGTGAAAGCCAAGTGTGCCACCTTTTTTTTTTCCCCCAACAGATATTTAACTATTTTTCCTGTAAGTGAAGTTTGAAAGAATCAGCTCAGGATGGACCTCTGATTTTTTTCAGCTACCAAAAAAATTGCAATGTTAATTTCAAGCCTCTTCTGCTTCATTTTTCTTATGATCTAAAATTGCTACTAGACACCTCTGAAAATAACATGTTGTTCTTTTTTTGTCCTCTTTCAGGCAAACTGTGGCTGAGTATGATTAGGCTAATTTGCTTGAGTATCAGTTAAACTCTTTCAGTGGCATTGCAGGTAAAACAAGGTACTTGCTTAATAGTGACATTTCCACTTACTGATTTTTTTATTCCATCTAATAAAACTAGAAATGTCTTTCTTACCAGAAACAATTTCAGAATAAAATGGTTATTGCACTTAAACCTGGTTTTAAAAATCAGAAAAACATAAAGCCTTGCTAAGTACCCTTTATATATGTTTAAAAAAAATCTGTGTGTATAAAATATGAACGTGTTTTTGTAGAATGGTTCCTAAGTTTCCCCAGTGATTCCTCTGCACAACAGCCTGAAAGTTGAGCTATAGCCTTTTAAAATTCAGTGTGCTTTCTGAAGGAAGGTGGCAACCAGCTCAGCTGGGTCACAGCCATCTCACTTCCAGCTGGGATTCTGCTCTGTGCTATGATGATAAATTCTACACACTTTAAATCAAAACCTTGTGCAACATCTTTGAATAAACCCTAACCTTTTTCCTAGTGTACTAGGTGTTATAAAGAATCCATAAAATATTTTTGGTCTAAGTAGCCTCCTAAGTTTTTCTTCAGTTGCTTTGGTTTTGAGGGGGTTTTTAAAGTTTTTTTTTCCACTTTGAGCGTGTTCTGTGTGATTTTTTTTTAATTTTTTTTTTTTACATTTGGTTCCTGTTGTTTAGTAAAGGAATTCAGGATCTCTAAAATTTAAATATGAGATGTTTATATAGCAGTTCTGGTTTTCTATTAGCTTTTATACAGTATCTTAAAAAGCCCTTGATAGAAGTGTTTATTTTGGAGGATACGAGATAAATATGCTTCCACTTATATAACTTTAATATATGTCTTAAAATTTAAATTATGGGAAAAAAATGTTAGTTGCTTGTTTATAAATATAGGTCTTTTGAAGAGTGTCTAGTTTGGCCACAGCCAAAATAAAAGGCAAATTTATTGATGCAAAAGCCTGTTTTCATCATATTTTGTTTAATTTTATAGCTGTGTATTGAAGTGACAAAAAGTTAGAGGTCTTGTTGAATATAAAAAAGTGTTTTGCTTTTTTTTCTAAAATTTGTGACAGGAACGTGCAGATGTTTTAATATATAGATTAGAATCTATAATTCTGTCCTTTTTTTGCTATTTTTATAACCTATCAGATAAATCTCAGAGAACTATCCTGCTTCAGTGGGAGTGGAAACTAGTGTTGCATTTCAGGGGAGCAGTGTTGAGCCATGAAACGTATTTTGGTTTGGGACTTTTTTTTCCTTTCAGGCACTGTGTTGGCAAAGCCTCTAAGCCTATCTTAAGTCCATTAAGATCAGTCTTATTTTTTTTTTATTTTAAATTGTTCTGTGCCAGTTCTTTACTGAATTGGGACCATGACCAACCTTGCAAGTGAGCAATGGCAGCAAAACACAAAGCAGTAACAGAACTGTCTCTGGTTTTGGGTTGTTGGTGAGGCAGAGCCAAACACCCCTGGCAGGTGATGGAGGAGATAACCTGGTGAAGAGGGTGAGCCCAGAGTCACCCTGGGCTGTTTCCAAAATGAGATGTTGCATTATCTGTGACCCCAAGCAGCTGTAAGAGGCTTGGCCTGCGTTTCCTGTTCAGGCAGGAACATCCAGGAGGTTTTTTTTTGCCTGATGTTGTTCATTTTGCCCCAAGTGGGACACGTGGGTTTGCTCCAAAGCTCTGCGTGTTCTCTGTTGCTGATCCAAGCTTCCAGTGTTAAAAAGAGTTCCTCCCATGGGATAAGGACAGACTATGCCTAATTTCTTGGCTCTAACAGTGAGGCTGCAAATACCTGGCATGAGCCTGTAATCTGGCATGTGCCTATACTGTTCAATAAAATTGTTTACATTTTCCTACCAGAAGATTTAGATAAAAATCAAAACAAGTTTAGGGGGTTGTTTTTTGTTGGAGTTTTTTTTTATCTGTTTGTTTTGGTTGGGGTTTTTTTTAGTGTTGCTGTTATTGAATCAGTGTTAAAATATTTTTTTCTGTTGTTGCTGAACACAGCCTGATAGTATTTTTAATGTAACTGATTCTTGTTTATTTAAAATGACTTGTGAAAAACTGTACTGTAACTGCTCTACGGAAAGGGACACTATCAAGAGAAAGGCTGGATACAAAAAATTAACATACCTATATTAGAAATACTTTATATTAATAAATAATATTGAAGAATTTAAAAACAAATTGAGTCATAACACTTGAGCTCCTTTGGCATGAAAATCCTATTATGGGCAGCCTCAGTTGTTGTGAGGATGTCTGAAAAATGTAACAGAATTCTGTGGGTTCAGCTGATTTTTCATGTTGCTTTTCCTCTCGCTATTCCAGAATAAAGGACTCAATCCTTTTTTTTTTTCCTTTTCCAGACTCTCAGTGGTACATATTATCTTTTAAAGACACAAGCTTCCCACTATTGCAGCAGCAGCTTTAATTCAAACATGTACAGAAAAACCAGAACAAACCCTCTTTTCAGCGTTAAGTGCAAAATACACATAAAGTACATATTTTAAGGCTTATTCTTGACAGTGTCCCTTTTTAAAAAGCAGGAAAATGGGATCACTTTAAGTGCTTGGGTACAGGGGAGTAGTTTCCTACTAGAAATTGGAATTATCCAATATATTTTCTAGAGAGTTTTCCGGTTAGTTACACAAAATCACTTGTCATTTTAAAGGATTGTAGAAGTAAGACAAGCAACTCTGGGTTTATAATCCTGTATACCTTATACATTCTATATCTGTTCAATACACCAGGATGGGTTTTTACTTTTTTTAGGACTGAGACTTAATAGCTTAAGGCAACTTTTTCTTTAATGTAATGTAAAATCCATTGCTGCTTTGTACAACTTTTTCTACTGTGTGTTTTCTTTACTTAGATCTTGACTAAGAGATGTTGACGTCCAATAAACTTACACTTTGTTTCTTTTGAGTCACTGTGTCTTCTACTGGAATCTCTTGGCAGAGGTGTTGTTATTGTACAAACCATTGTGTCTGCAGAGTAGGAAGTGAGTTTGTAAGAGAGCATCTTCTGTTCTGTTTGTTGGATGTAAGTGCTACTTGTACGTTACTAAAATAGTGGAGGTTGTTTGTTTTAATAAGTGCCTCACTGAACCTTTTACTGGAAAATACAGGAAAACCAGCTGCTCCAGACAATCTCTTAAAAACTTGAGCACAGCCCAAATCCTGCTTCGTGTACAATCAGTGATTTGTGGAAGTGTCTCCATCTAAAACTGGACTGAGCCAGATCTTTGAGAAGACACAGCAATGTTTCTGGTTTTGCAGCACTCTCACCCAAGGCAGTTTTGCTGCATGAATTTCCCTCTTCAGAACCCCCTGTGTGGGAATGCAGTGTGTGGATTCCCATTTGGGAATGGGGTTTACTCAGTTCCTTTCTTCACACTAGGTGTCACCTGTCTTTGAGAGCACTTAGGCCAATTTTTTCAACTTCTTGGACTCCACGTTTGCTGTCTTTTGCCATTTTTGCCTCGTGCAGTGTGGTTGGACCCACTGACCAGTTTCACCAACATTTAACAAAGGCAACAAGGTCTCAAGAATCAATATCCCCCAAGTTTTGTGCAAATCCCTGTCTGGGTGTCAAGGAATGGTGTCAGTGGGACACCACAAATCCAGTGGGAAAGGATAAGATTTGCGCAGAGGATGTGCTGAGCACCCACCTGCACTTTTTACACTGTGTGTGTGCACTGACCTCTCAGAGGGAGCAGGGCAATGGCTCAGGTGGAACACAGGGCGGAGCTGAAGGACCAGCTCTGCCAAACATTTGGATCAGGGGTTAAAAGGGCACTCTGAGCTCAGGAGGATTTGGGCCTCTCCTTGAAAATGGGGACGAAGGGCTCATGGTCTGTCCCTCTGTGGGGTATCTCTGCCCCTCACAGCTGTGGAAAAGGCAAAGAGAGGGTGGAGAGCTGCTCTCTGACCCATTCACAGTCTTAAATCCCCAAAGATATGGCTCTCTCCTTCTTCTTCCAGATCAGAACAACTCCAGCTCTTCCTGCATCCACTTAATGCTGACACACAGTTCTCTCCCCATCACTGTTTCAGCACAGACTGACTTCTGCTAGAATGGTTCACAGAAAATGCTCCAGAGAACAAAAAGCCTGTGTTTGACATAAAACTCAAGAAACAAATCAAAATTATTAGAAGTGACTGGTAATGGCATGAGCATTGCACCTGTTTTTGTGGTTATTTTTGTTCCAATTTCAGCTGTCCCCTTCTAAGACAGTTGGTGTGCAAACAAATCCAGCAATGTTTACTCTTCCATTCATAGGGTATTTCCATCTATCATTTAATATACAAACCCAGAAGCATCCTTACTATTAGACCAACAGGGATAATATTTCTGTTTCCAGTCCTGAAATACTGTGGCAATAAAAATTTTCAAGGTATTGGTTGCAATGAAGCAACATACACAACTTTTATTTCCCTTCCATTTTGCATGTGTTGAAAGAGTACATTGAAAGTCAGTTTCTGCTGACTTTAAAGAATTTGCTTTAAATTGATAAACTCTTAACAGTTTATTAATGTGTTGTCAGTCCAGGATCTGGGATGGATTCAGCTCTTCAGTGTCATGGAGCCCTGGTTGTTTTCAGCAGCTTGAGCTGATAGTTGAGGGCTCAGCTCTCACCCAGCCACCTGCAGCTCTCAGAGAAGTCCACTGGTGTTAAAAACCTGCTGGGATTTACTGACATCCAGGGATGCTTCTGCTGGAAGGAAGAGACCACGCTGGGGTTTGCAGGCTCTGCAGGCAGGTGGCTGAAGGAACAAAGGACAACAAGGCAGAAGAAGAGGTCAGAGAAAGTACAGTGACAACAGCAGGAGAGTGTAAGATACAGAGGAGAGCACGCTGTGACCCTGCCAAAAAGAACAGCAAGGAAAAAACAGCCTCTGTTTTAAGGTGTCATTTGTGATTAATATGGCTCTTTTTGGTTCCCACTTATTCCCTTCTTCCCTAATGAATGAGGTGTGACACCTCTAACCCTTTTTGGCTGACAGAAACTGCATCTATTACTCTTGTCATCCATTAATTTGTCCTATAAAGTCTGTGAAAGAGTTTATGAAAAAAAACAACTACCCAAAATATATTTAATAATATCTCCTCTACAGTCTTGCACCAGGGGAAGTTTTGGTGCTCTTGGAACAGTTTTTGGAGACTGCACATCCTGAGGGCTTCCTCAGGTGTGACAACTACACCTGTGCAATATTTGCTGCTGCTGCTTCTTTACTCATCAATCATCTGAGCAGCCAAATGCCACAAGAAGAAAACTTTGCCTTGTTGACTCACATTCAGGTTATTTGTTTCAGGAGAAATTTGACAGAGGTCTGTAAAGGCATGTAAAGAAAAATTTTTAAAGCATGAAGAAAAAAAACCTGTAAAAATACCAAATTCTAAGTCTGGAGGAAATAGATTCACAGATACTAAAATGAGATTTGAAATTGGGTATTTTCTACCAAGTATTTACTACAAGGCTTAAGAGAGGGAGAATCACACAGAATCTTTGTTTTATGGAGATGATCCTATAATCTATTCTGTGCCTCTGATGCTGTGTGCAGGCATCAAGGAGGAGACAGAAACAAAAAGCATCACAAGAGGTGAAGCCCTCTCTCCATATATGCACAGGTCCTTGGATTTTCTTATCTGTCCAGCTGAACTGGAGCATTTTCACTGTTCCTCTGGAGGAAGGCATTTTTCAAAGCCTGTTGGTTTCCTAAAAAATTCCTTTTTGTGCTGCTGCTCTCAGTCTAAAACGTGAAGATGTCTTTTGTTACTTACCAAGTCCTTCCTGATGTCCCACCTTCCCAAAGCCAGCTGGTCTGAGTGTCCTCCAGCGTTTGTCAGAGGGGCTCACGGGTGTTTGTACTGCCCGGGAGAAGCGCACACTCCTGGTGAGTCCCAGCATCAGCACCTCAGGGGATCCTGGCGCTCTCTGGTGGAGAGAAAAGAACGGGATCCAGCAGGGAAAATAAAAGGAAAAACTTTTAAAAAGGCATCTTGGCATGTTTTAGTTTCCAAATACTCAGGGTATTTCGCTGAAGTTTTGGTCAATATATTTTTGGAGAGTCATCATCATAGAAAAAATAATAGTCGCAAAAATGATTTTCCTTATTTCCATTCCAAATAAAATGCCTGTTGTTAGCCTTTGTCCCTTTTGCAAAATTGTGACCACTCAGGAATAGATTAATTATCAGATATGGAATCCCAGAATGGTTTGGGTTGGAAGGGACCTTAAAAACCATCCAGTGCCACCCCTGCCATGGCAGGGACACCTTCCGCTGTTCCATGCTGCTCCAAGCCCCAATATCCAAAAATTCCAAGGATCCAGGGGCAGCCACAGCTGCTCTGGGTACCCTGTTCCAGGGCCTCCCTACCCTCACAGGGAATTTATTCTAAAATCTAATTTAAGCCTGCTGTCTTTCAGTTTGAAGCTGGGTTTCAAGAAACGTAAAAGTGTGATGCTACAGGGAAAAGCAAAATTGTTATAATAATGTTATAAAAATGTTATAATAATGACACTTATAAATTATGACACTTATAAAATTAGTGGGTGGTATACATGTGAGCTATGGTTAATGCAAACATCACGGTGCCATTATTTGTTTTCACACATTCTTTTTCCTTGTGCTCTGGTTTTGGGTTAAACCATGACCCCTTGAGAGCTGCACTATTGGTGCATGAAGGGCTTCAGAAGTGAGTACAAGTATCCAGGGTGAACCAACTTGGGTCAATTTAAATGGAATTGAAACATGGCTCTGCAGCTTTACTTTATATCTCAATACATAATTCAAAATTATGATTGGTCCAAATAAAACATTGTGACCCGTCTGCTCTGAAACTTGGCCAATTTGTCAACAACTACATTCATGGGGCATGGTTGTTTTTTTTCAAGACAGTTTTAGGACCTGTATTTTAATAACAAAGCTCATTTCTGATCTGATGAAACACTCAGCTCCTGGCAGTGTGTCTCCTTAAGCAATTAAGAGATGTAGGCATTTGGGCAAAGAGGAACGAAATGACCATAAATGAATTGCAGTTTTCCTGCGATGAGGTCATGGTGGACACACTGCTTTTTCTTCTAGAGAGATTGGTGTTTGGATAGATCAGATGTCTCCTGATTTTGCAAATGAACTCAAAATAAGAGCAGTTAGGTGGAGGTCTAATGATGTCATCACCTTTTTTTATATGGAGCAAGACTCAGAAGAGGATGCTCTGTGGAGGACACGAGTTTGGAGGGTTATTTCAGATCAAGAACCAGACGTGTCCCAGCCTCCTCATCCCCACACCAGCTCCAGCTTATGGAAGCTTGCTTGGTGGCACATCCCTGGTGCCAGGCAGCTGAGGACCTTCCACAGAGGCTTCTGGCCATCCCACCGGGTCTTTGCACACCCATGACCCTCCTCCTCAGGCAGCTGTCACAAAGACCCACAAGTGCCGACTCAGACGGATGGGATGTGTCCCATGTGCTGAGCCTCACCTCGAAAGGGGCCACAGAAACAGACTGGAGTCTACATGAGGGCAGTGTTCTGGCTTTGTGCCTCAACTCCTGAGCAAACCTGCCACAGCCAGCAGGAAGAAGGACAGGGCTGTTACCTGTCTCTGGAAGAAAGGCTGAAATGCTGCATGTGAAAGGGGAAGTGGTCCCCTCTTCCATGGGGGGACATGCTGAGGGATCACATTTCAGGAATGAAGATTTCCAGGACTGCTTCTGCCAGCAGAGGTGTCAGTGAGGGGGATGCAGTGGTTCCACCACAGGCTGAGGCTATAAAATCTCAATGAAAACATGGTTATAGCCACCTTGCAGGTAAAGGTGGCATCACACAGACTCCCAGAATGCTGCAAAAAGCTCCGCTGGCCAAAGTGAAGTTTTGACAAACTAAACATGTTTTACGCTGCTACACTCTCCTGACAAAGCACTTGTTTCAAACCTCCTGTTAGACTGCATGAATGGCCTCTTCTGAACCATCTCTTTCTTCCATGTGGAAAACAGACTCTGGAGCACAGAGGCAGACAATCAGTGGGAAAAGTTTGTATTGGTTTTATCTCTTTGCAATGTATTTGTTTTTGTATTTATTTTAATTCCAGTGACTGAATATACTCCTTTTTTTTGTAAATTGTTAACAGCTTTAAAAATGAAATGTATTAAATAACTATGATTAAATTAATTAACTATGAATAACTATAAGCAATGATGCTTATTTCTGTAACCTGGCACTTGGGGTAATCTCAGATCCAACACTGTTCAGTGCTGGAGTGGCCAGGGAGCAGTGCTAATCTGAGGCATTTGAAGGTCTCTTCTGACCTTGATGAATCCAGGACTTGGGGATTGCCCTGGGCCAGGTGCAGCACCTGAACCCTGGCCGTGTTGAATCTCATGAGGTTCTTGTGGTCCCACTTGTCAAGCTTGTCCAGGTCCCTGTTCCTGAGCTTGTCCCTTCCTTCCGTGGTGTCCCTGCCCTGCTCAGCTTCCCGTCCCCTGCAAACGTGCTGAGGATGAGCATTCATCAAAAATAGAAAGTTACTGAAGAATAGAAACACATTTCAAATTTTTGACGGACTCAAGGTTCCCTGGTAAATCAAAATCAAAGTAGAAGGAGTTTAGTTTCTTTTTTACCAAGAAAATATTAGAACTGAACGGTCAAAATCTTTTAACTGTTTAAAAATACTCTTTATGTGTAACCTCCTAAGATCACTGTGGTGGAACAGTAGACCAGACTATCAAATAGCAGACCCTCCGTGCAGTCCTGTCGGGACAATGATGGTGACAAAAAGCTTGTTCAGGACAACTGGGAACACGTGAGCGTCCACAGCAATGGGGTCAAACCCTTGCTGCAGCAGAAGGACGTGGCACAAACTGACTAATAGTAGTAAATAAGAACAAGAAAAGAAATAGCAATAGTAAGTTGAATCAGAATTATGAGAAGATAAGGAGAAATAGTAGTAGTAATAAGAAAAACAAAAATAGTAAGAAAAAGAATAAGGAGAAAAATAAATAGTAGTAGTAGTAAATAATAATAAGATAAAGAAGAAGATGAAACACTTGTAGAAGTAAATAATAGTATCAAATTAAAATAAACATCCACACAACCACAGAATGAAGGAAAGGACCTTAGGTCCTCTAGTTCCAACTAGTTATCTTCTGCTCTCTCTCTGAGACCTCTTTCCTATGTTTTTCTACGGCTCTACCTCCCCTTTCTTGGTAAATAAAATCCATGTTAAATAAAATCCCTATGTTGTCCTCATATGGTCTCCTTTGCACCTTCATTTGAGGCCTCTCTCCCTCATGGGCTTGTAACACCTGCTCAGGGTCCTTCCAGCTGCCAGCATTCCAGGATTCTGTCAGCTCCTCACTTCCCTCTTCTTGCCTCTGCTTTGGGCTGGGAATGTGCTTGAAAATGTCCAGCAGCTCCCTCAAGAAGCAGCGCAGAACCAGCACCCCGAGAGCCTCGGGAATTCCCCTCTGTGGTCCATGGCACACACTGCAATGGTCTGGAATTCCAGCTTCCAGCAAGGACAAGATGTTCCTACCCTTTAAGGCAAAGCTCTGAAGGGGCTGAAAGCCAAGTGGAGCAAGATCTTGCAATGACATTGCATGACCAGCTTTCATAACTTAATCAAGGGTTGTTCTAGCATATGGATTGAGAAAAAAAAATCAGGCGAGGGTCTTTGGCTGCCAGTTACCACAGGTAAAGACAGTATGAAAGAAATAGAGCAGGTACCTGCCCCATACCCACACCGAAACCATGTACCTCTAGGAAACTGGGTGTCCCCTCCATGTCCCCGCCACTCTCCGAGGTACTGGACACCCACTCCAAGCCCTTCTATCCCGGGCACCAGGCACCGTCCCGAGTCCTTCTACCTCGGGGCACCGGGCGCCCACCCTGAACTCCGCCACCTTCGGGAACTCTGCGCCCCTTTACTCCAGGGCAGCAGGAGCACATCATGCGCTTGTCGTTCCCCCAGGGGCACCAGATGCTCACCCCAAACCCCTCTGAGCACCAGGTGCCCACCCCAAGCCCGTCTCCCCCCTTCCGTCCCTGCCAACCACCGCCGCGCTGCAGGACGTTCGCCTCCTGGCAACCGCCCCCGCGCTGGGCAGCGGCCAGAGCCGGCGCCGGGCCGAGCCTGCGGCCGGGGCCGGGCCCCCTCTCCACCGCCCCGGGGCGGGGACTGCGCCGCCCGCGGGTCGAGCGAGCGCTGCGCGGGGCTGCGGCCGCCGCTCCCCGCCGGGCGCGCCTTGCACGGCTCCGGAGTGGCGGCCCCATTATGGTCAGCCATGGCGTGGCTGCCGGGCGGGCTGGCCGAGCTGCGCTGGGGCGCGCTGGTCGCCCTCTTCGTGGCGGCGCTGGCCACGCTGGCCGTGTACCTGGTGCAGTACGCGCTGCTGGCGCTGCGGAGGGGCCGCCCGCCGCCGGCCCCCGCTCCGCCGGCGCAGCGGGACGAGCTGCTGGAGGAGGGCGGCTCGGTGCTGGCCTGGGCGCTGTCGCGGGGCAGCTGGAGGCGGCAGTGGCGGCGGGCCTGGGTGGCGGCGCTCCGAGCCGAGGCGGCGGAGCGGGCGGTGAGTGCCGGGGTGCAGGTGATGATGGATGGACTGAGGGAGGGAAGGGACGGGGGGTGGCCGGCGGCGGCTCCCCCGCGCCCGCCGGGATGCGGCCGGCGCCTCCCGGCCGTGGGGCATCGCTCCGGGCGCTCCCCGCTGCCAGGAGCGGCTGTGGGGACGCCGGGACTTGCTGCGGGGATGTGCCGGGTGTGTTCCTGACCCTCCGTGCGTGTGTTTGTGTGTCTGCACGTGTGTGTTGGTGGCTGCTTGGCAGGGGTTGCAGGAGGGAGCCGGCCGGCGGCACGGAGTGGGCGCAGGCGTGGGAGCAGGGAAGGATGGGGAGGAAGGAAAGCCCCGACCCCCGCAGACCCTGGCAGGGGTTCGCTCGGCCGATAACATTGTTCGGGCGTGGGGAGGAGGAAACAATGGAAACTTCCTGGCCTGGGCCTGCGGCCCGTCCTTCGGCAAATAATTCCCAGAGCTGGGCTTCCCCCGGCATGCCGCAGGCCCTGCTGTGTGTGCTGTGACTCCAAGGGCTGGTGGCCTCCGAGCCCGCTGGATGGTGGATGGGATGCTCGGGGTTTGGTCAGGTTGCCGGTACCCAGGTCAGGGAGGATGCACAAAACGCGGTGTTCCCATCGCATCCTTTCCTGGAAGAGGCTCAGTGTGGCATCCTGCGCGTTGGTGTGTGATGGTATGTCCTGTGAGGTGAGGAGGTCAAGTGAGGCTGCGGCAAGCTGATTTCCTTGTCCTGAGGACTGAGCCCTTGTCAGGTCAGTGCAAAATGCTGAGGATAAACTCTAGGAAGTGGCATGTCCCCAGGTCTCTGAATTTGTGTGCGTCTTAGACCTAAGAGGTTCCTTCTTACGTGTCAGAGAGCAGGCTGGGGAAGAAGGAAGCGTGGGGCAACATGTGTGTGTGAAAGATAAGGAATGAAAATGAACACTTCCCAAGTATCATTGTAAGTTGGGCAGTAGAAAGAAAATATTTTGTGCACCCTTTCACATGGCACGGTGCGGTTGAGAAAAGAGTGGGCTGTGCTAAGAAATGAAGGTTGTTTGCCCTGCACTTGTGGAAGAAAAGGATCTAGACAGCTTGAGCACAGGTGCCAGGAACCGAAAGTAACCAGACACAAGTGACAGCTTCCTGTCCCTGAGCAGAGGGCAAAGCCCCTGGGACAGGCGCAGGCACACCCTCCGTGCCCAGGTGAGCAGCTGGAGCCGGGAGTTCAGCGCCTGGCGCTGCACTCGCGCTGTCAGCCTCCCAAAACAATGTCAGCAGCACGAAGGTAATGAATTTCCTGCGTGCAAAACAACCTCGGGTGGTGAGGGAAGCGGGGCTGAGTGCTCCGTGTGGGTAGCAGGTGAGGAATGCAGTGCTGATGCTTCTGAAGGTATGACCTCAGTGCCCAAAGGCTGCCTCGCCTTGCTGTCTGTGTGACGACTGAGTGGCTGTCATCACTGTCTGCCTTCGCTGATGAGGAGGGCTGGGCAGGGGAAGCCTTCTTTCCTCACCTCTGCAAGATGATATTTGGGGTTTCTTAGTTTTGGCATGGCTGCTGCAGCCCTATTAGTGGGCCAAACCAAACACGCCTTTCCAAGCTGCAGCACTGATAAATCTTTGCTGAAGAACAGCAGTTTTGCTGGACCCTGTTGTCGTTCATGGACTTGGCTCTGCACTGTGCACCTTGATATTCTACTACAGGGAAAGATGAGTTGTGATTAGGCCCATAGTTATGTCCTAAGTATATGTTTTCAGGCTCTACCCTGTATTATGTAGTGAGGTGTCATGCAATTGATACATGGAAGTTTTGACATACATTTGCAATTCCAGGAACTTGACTGGCAGTGCATTTTTATCACTTGTTTTCAGGTGATGGGTTCATCACCTAATGATGCTTCTTTTTTTTTCTTAGGATTCTCAGATGCTCATGTTTGAGGAAGATGACCCAGCAGAACCACTTGAGCTAGCAGTTAAAGAAGTTACCAGTGTTGTAAAGTCAGCTGGAGAGAAGGTAAACTTTGGATTTGTTGCCTTTGGTCAGGAAATCTTTTATTAGTGTGAGTGGCAAATTTATTTGTCAATAGATCTGTACCCTTGACCTGTGTTTGTCAAAGCAGGTAGGAGGCTGCTTGTAAAGAACCTGTGCAAACTGTCTGCATTGATTCACTTCTTTCTCATGTTGTGAGCAGAGTGTGCTCCAGGGCTTCCTCCAAATGCACAATAAACCAAGGTTATGCCAAGTTTATAGCTACACCCTCAGTGAGCTCTGGGAGGAGCCCTCTCCTCCACCTCCACAGTCCTGATGATGTTTCCCCATCCTATTGCTGAGGCCTGCAGTGGGAACTTCATTGAGAAGAAGGAAATTTCTCTCCTGGGACTGGCAAACATCTTTGTCTGCCTCTCGCTGTTTGTGTGGCTGATGACAGGTTTGCTTCCTAAGAGTGAGCTGAGTAAGGATCAGTGGGACAGGTGCAGTGTCCTGAGGGTGAAATCATGACTCTGCTGGTCCTTGTGTTGAGTGAGGAGCAAGTAATTTCTTTCCTCCTCTCCCACTGCAAATACTGGGAGGTGCTTCAGTGCCTGTGAAATTAAAATAAGGCAGAATGTGGCTCTTGGAACTGTAAAAATACTTTAAAAGGGAAAAAACCCTATATAGGTTTATTAGCAATGATAGCTCCTGCATTTTTGTCCTAGTGACTGGTTACATTAGGCACCTGCATCAAATTAGCCTAATGCTTTTCTTTTAGTTTTGCTTTGTTATTTTGCTTTGCTCATCTGATTTAGATGCTGAGCAGCTCTACTATGATTCCTTTGAAAACTATGCATGCTTATCTGCCTGATACACAGCTCAGAGGCACACCCTGACTGGTGGCAGCTGGGGATTGTTAACATGTAAAGCTGTTTGCGTACTTATTTTCTCCCTTTTTTAAAAAAAAAATTATTTCAGTATCCTGAAATAAATGGGTAATAAAGTCCCTGCCACAGCAGTGGGGCTGGAGAGACTGGACTTGGTAGGGCTGTGGGGTTGTTACTTATTCTGTGCCACTGGAAGATGCCATGATGGGAAATTGTAAAGAGAGGGCACTGCTAGGTCTGAAAGTGATGTGCTGTGTCATGTGTGAAGCCAGGACCCCAGGGAGAGCTGCTGCAAATAACAGCACAAAAAACTGCTGTCTTGCAGTGCAGTGTCTAAAATGTTGCTGGAAGGGACAGGCAGGGCTGGGTTGAGCCATTCCAGCATCTTAATCGAGGTGTTACACTGCAGACAGAAATCTGACATGCTTTCAAAACAGCTTAGTCTAATAGAAGCACATTTTAAAAATTGTTGGAATAAGACAGGTTTGTTTTCATACACTGGGCTCTTCTGAACTGTGCCAAAACCCATTTCAATAGTCTTGTGCACAGCTGCTGGAAAAAGTTCTCTGAATCGTTCTTACTCCTTCACTTGAGGTACAACCTGAATATTTATTTGAATTACAGGGTATAATAACCTTAGGGTGGCAGTCTGGTAGCTACTTTTCCTTCTTCTTTAAATGCATACCTTTCTCTAAACACCTCAGGATTTCTCTTATATGATAATTGTGTCTTATATTTCCTGAGGTAACACCAAGAGTGTTTGTTTTTTTTGAAGTTTTTTTGGTGTTTTCTTTTTTCCCCGTCCTCTTCAAACTCTCAATGTTTGCATGTGAAGTCGAAATCTCTCTCTGCAGCTTGCCCAAACTCAAAGTTCTGACAGAAATTGGTGTGTGCTGCACAGTGCAGTGCTGCAGACATGGTTGGAATGCTGCTGCTTCTCAGCTTGGCCCAAGCTGTGGTGATAGGAACAGAGCTGCTCTGTGGCTGGAGGTTACACCACACTGCCCCATGATAAAGCCTTATTTATGTGTTGTCTTCACCCCAGTTTTGGGTCAGAGCCTAAATATATAGAATAAAATGTCCTGTTTTCATTGTGTGGTATTGGTTGTTTTGTTTTAATAAAGTAAACATTAGAAATATTCTTGGTCTTAGCTTTTTCTGCCAGCCTTTCCATTAGTGCAGTCTGTTTCCAGAGGACTTGAACTTCACAACAGAAACAGCAACAAAAAAGGCAATGAGAAGGAGGATTCTCTTGCTGGGGACTTGGCACAGAGGGTTGGATGGAGCAGGCTGTGACAGAAGTCTGCCTTTATTTTTCTGCTTCATACTCAAATGAAAAGGGGTTAAAATTCCTTCAGAGTGCCATTCCTTTAATGTCACTGCTGCGCTCCTAACTGGGACCATTCCTGGTGTTTAT